GTCCCGCGAGCGTCCCGCCGGCCGGCCCCGCGTGTTTCTCCGCACCGGCCCCCTCGGTGACCAGGACGCACCTCCGTGCCAGCTGCCTGCGGCTGCCGTTTCGCAGTGCATGTCTGTCGCTTCCAGAGAAGGGCCTGCTCCTGTTCTTAGAGCCTCAAGAACTTTGCGTTCTGCTTATTTCTACTTATAACTGAGTCTTCTCAGTTATACTCAGCTCATTGTGACAGCTCGCTCGTGAATCCTCCTCTTCTGAAGACCCTCAACATTTATTACTCTTCTGGTAATTTAACTGTTTGTTGAGTCTGATTGCTGACTATTTTATTTTTTAAAATAGAATTGGATCTCAACATGTTGGGTAGGCTGGTCTTGAACTCCTGGACTCGTGCAATCCTCCTATCTCTGCCTCCAAAATGCTGGGATTAGAGGCGTGAGCCGCTGCGCATGGCAAGCTACTACTTTTAAAAGTTAAACTACTTGAGGATAGGGGCCAACTCACATATTCGTTCATATTTTAGTTGCAAGCATGTGTGATGGCTATCTTTTGAGTGAATTAATAAAAACAAGATTGTATAGATATGGAAGATTTTTTTCTGCTGTTAACCAGACTCTGGGCCAGGCACCGTGGCTCAAGCCCGTAATCCCAGCACTTTGGGAGGCTGAGGGGAGGGGATTGCCTGAACCCATGGGTTCGATATCAGCCTGGACAACTTGGCAAGACCCCATCTCTACAATAAAAAAAAAAAATTGAAAAGTTAGCCAGGTGTGGTAGCATGCGCCTATAGTTCCAGCTACTTGGAAGGCTGAGGCAGAAGGCTCGCCTGAGCCCAGCAGGTCGACGCTAGGGTGACCATAATCGTACCACTGCACTCCAGCCTCAGCGATAGAGTAAGACTCCAACTCAAAACAAAACAAAAACAGACTCTGTTTTGTTCACAATAATTTTTTTTCCTGATCACTTAGGAGGTAAGAATCAAGAGCTCTCCAAGGCCATTAGAACATGTCCTAGTGGGTTGTGTCAGTATGCAATTTGATTTACGTGACTTTTTTTGATCAGCAGGGCAACAGGAACCTGGCAAGGAGTCAGTTCCCTCAGTGGATGAGGTAGCGAGACAGCTGGAAACACAAGTGTTGGAAGAGAAAGAGAGAGATGACGATGATGAAGGTAAGGCCTTTGAGTAGAAAAGCCAGAAGGCGTAACTGTCCTTCTGTCCGTCAGCGTCTCACGCTCCCAGGCTGGAGTGCAGGGGCATGACGAACGCTTGGCACAGCCTCGACCTCCTAGGCTCAGGCGCCTTTCCTCCTCATTCTTCTGAGTAGCCGGGATTGCTCACCGTGCCCAGCTAGTTTTTGTTATTGTTGTTGCTCTTCAGGTTTTTTTGAATTTTTGTAGGCGGGAGGTTTGCTATGTTGCCCAAACTGGTCTCAAACTCCTGGACGTGTGCAATCTTCATGCCTCCCGAGGTGCTGGGATTGCAAGCATGAGCCACTGTGCCTAGCCAGAAACCGTGATGTTCTTTAAACAAAATCCTTACAGTTTATTCTTTGACATTCACTTATTAAAGCCTTAATGTCACAGATAGAAAGGAAAAGGCAAGTTTATTACAACTGTTTAAGATGTTAGATACGTTAATTCACTACTTGGTTACTACTGATCTCAATTTGTAAAATTGTGCTCAGTAGAAGTCTAAGTAGGAGGTGAATATTAATAAGATTAGGGTTGTTTATTTAACTAATATTTATTGAGCAACTAATATATAGTAGGCAATTTTCCCAGGTTATGTTCACATGCAGTCTCATTTTAACCTTACGTCATTTTACAGATAGGGATATTTGTGGTTATGAGAGTTACCCAATGTGACACAGCTAATATGTGTAGAGTCAGAAATTTAAACCTAGCACCTGATTCCAAGTCTTTTATTTTTGTTTCTAGAGACAGAGTCTGGCTCTCACCTAGGCTAGAGTGCAGTGGTGCGATCTTGGCTTATTGTAACTTTGAACTCCTAGGCTCAGTTGATCCTCCCACCTCAGCCTCATAAGTAGCTGGAACTACAGGCACAGGCCACCATACCCAGCTAATCTTAAAAATTTTTTTGTAGCAACAAGGTCTCACTATGTTGCCCAGGCTGGTCTCAAACCCTTGGGCTCA